GGCTCACCTGTTCTACAAAATCCATCGCAACCGCTACCCAGTTTGCACCAAGCCATATGCCTTCAACCACTTCCCCAAGCGACTGGCGCCCAAGAGGGACTTCTCGGTGAGAGTGGCGGGGTCTGGGCAGGGTGGGCTGCTGGGATTTGTTACTGATTTATAAACACTGAAAGATATTTTAAGAGTGGAGATAACATTACAGCCCGAGGCACAGTTTCCTCTTCCTCCTCACCTCCTCTTGCTCAGTGTTTAGGGCAGGCAGAGGTGGAGCCAACCAGAAACAAACGAGAGAGACTAGAGGTTTTCATATAATCACATCAAAATATATGGGGACTGTTGAGTGTAGGAATGTACATTTTTGTGGCTAATTATTCCAATTCTGAATTGTAATAATAACAGACTTGAGAAGAGGTTATAGCATTACATGCAACTTTCAATACTAACAGCAGTTCAGTTACACTGTAAAGCTTTTCAGGGGATTTCCTAAGTTCTGTTTAGTTTTGTTAGTTTTTCCTTCATGGACAGCATGCTCTCGTTTGTTCAGGTTTCTCAGGTCATTGTAACAGAGACTTAAATAAAAATGGCCAATACCGCTCTGTTTTTAACCTAACCATCTGAAACCAGTCATCTCAATCAAGCCATGATTAATAATTCTTATTCCGACATTTTTGCAGCCTCACTACGTTCCTGACAACTACAAGAGGGCCGGGGGCCGCTCTGCGTGGAAGAGCGAACAACCCAAAGGCCCCGGAGGCTGCGAGGACGACGGCTCTTCCTGCGACCGGGGAGAAGACTTCCCCCCCGAGGCTGAGGAGGGGAGAGGGGGGGAGGAGGACGACACGGACCTGAATCCAGAAGACGCTGAAGCTCTTTCAGCCAAGCCCAGGGGAGCGGAACGGCAGGGGGAGGGCGACGAAGACGAAGATGAAGATGATGAAGACGACGACGACGAGGAAGAAGAGGAAGGGCAGGTGTCTGAAGAGCGCAAGGATTTGGAGGACAATTCTGCAGAGAGGATAGGGGAGATGATCGAAATGCCGTCGTCCTCTGCCTCCTCCCCGCTGCACCACCCGGTGCTGGGCAGGAGGGAGGCCCAGAGGGATCGGCTCAATAAAATCCTGCTGGACCTGCTGCACAAAACTCCCAGCAAGAATGGTGAGGAAGCGGGATCAAAGGAGGGGGGTAGGTCAACTGATTATTTAAGGTTCATGTTCAAATAAACGGTCCATGATCGGGAGTGGGGGATGAGGACGAAGCAGCACGGACTTAGCTGTTGTTCATATTTTTGTTAAACTCTTTTCAGTTATCATCTAACAGATGGCCACCTCCGTTTTCCGATCAGCTGCTTCGTCCAAGTCCCATGCTCCCATGCAGTGTTTCAGTCTGGTGTTTCTTTGCTTCAATCTGCTGAAAGCGTTTAATTAAAGGCTAACTTGTAACACTCATTCAGGGAGCTCTTGCAAAAACCCAACACACAGAGTGGAAAAACGCAAGGCACTTAGCAACGCAAAAGCAGCGAGTGAAAGCCTGTCACATTTATTGAAAACTATTTCAAAAAGCCCTCCGTTTGATCGGACTCTGATCCTGCAGCAGCCTCACATAAAGCAACTGCAGGAAAATGCTGAATAAGCTCTTTCTGATAAAGCTTGACAAAGGACATAACAGGTTTCACTTTGAATTTGTGATTTAATAGTAAGAACAACAACAAAAGAACATACCAAGACTTCAAAAGACTTAAGTTGTTTCATTTAGAGGGTGACAAACCTTTTTGGAGGCCATTTCTGTCTTCCACTTTATTTTGCACTTTGAAGCTTAATGCATCAGTAATAGAATCGACACCAATTGCCTACTCTTAGCATTGCTTTAAAACCCTATGTCAGCTATTTCTCTCCAAGCTCTTAATCCCCTCCCTCTTTTTGTTCTTCCAACAGCCATAGATATCAGTTATCTCCTGGAGGAGGGCGCGGGGCGGCGGATGCGGCGACGGACGCTCGGATTCGGGGATTTCGTGTACAGAAAATAACATTGCTACGTGCCTGTCAAGCACTCTGCCTTTCACTGTTGTGAGCGAGGGGCAGAACATGGAGAGACAGCGAGAAAGGGAAATGCAGCATTGTTGGTTCGACCATTAAGGACCACAATGCATCCCTGTGGGCGTCCTCCAGTCTACCTCTTCCAAGACTGTCCTCTCAACTCCGAGAGGCCGGGGGGGGTTTGGAGGCGCTGCTGACTCCGTGGCAACTTCAGCTTTTCAAGAGTTCTAAAGGAGCACGAAGAGAGAGCTGACCCAGACTTCTTGCTTATTTAAGTAGTATGATGCAAAACCTGTTTTTTAAAAATATAAACATGGGAGAAACAACCCATGCACTTACATGCATTGCATATTACAGACAGATGAGTGCCCCTATCAAGCATCAGAAATGAGACAAGTGGTACTGAATAGGGATGAATGGATGGTTTGAGTCAGTGGGGATGTGAATGCTGGAGAATTGTTCCCCCTAGTGGGACCTAGCTGCAATGACAAATTCTACAGATGAGAGAAGATCAGCACCGCGGGGCAGAATGGCATAGGAGAAATGTAAATTGAGCAGTGTGCTCAGATGCTGCTCATGAGAAAGAGAACGAGGGTGGTGAACTGCACTTTTGGTACCATGGATTTTGCGAAGCTCAGTGTAATGTATCTATAATGAAAACAGACTAACACTATCACAGCATTGGATGATGCAGTCTGAAAAACAAGCGCGTTCAAAAGTCTATTATCTTTTTCCTGTTATACTGTAGTAACTCATTTAGGAACAGAGGAGAGGTGTGTTTTAGAGCAAAGGGAGGGGGGGGAGCATTGAGTGTGCGCTTTTGTCGGTCAAAGTGTCTTGTTGAGGTTTTTAATTTTAATCTTTAATTTTCTCGCGAGGCAGTCAGCTTCACTCTTTTTGAAGTAACATAATTCACCAGCTTAACTAAATCAGGCGTTTCGGGGAGACACCGGCTTCAACTGTAACGCCTTACACAGCCGTGCTCTCCGACTGCCTTGTGTGCGAGTGCGTGCGTATACACTCACTGTGTGTCTGTAATCTGCCAGATTTCTTGAAGATATACCTTTTTAAAAACAAAAGAAAAAAAAATAAGGGCTCGATGGCAATTAACAGTTTTAAGAAAACTATGGAAAACAATACTTAACATAAAATGTATCGTGATGGTCATATTTTCTTATATTCTGTAAGACGGGTGGGGCGGTGTATAATGTATATTGGGAGGGGAAGGGACTTAAGATCTTTTTTTGTCTTTAATAGACTATGTTCCTTGTTGCCATGGAGAATGTTTAAAAAAGAAATTGTGATATTTGATGAGATTTCTTTCCCCCCCTAATGCCTCTGCTAGAAAGGGACAACCTGCAATGTCCCAGTGCGGTTAACTGACAGAAGAGAGGGGGGGGGGGGGGACAGGAAGCTGTACAGTGCCAAGTTCTGTAAATATACACACTTTACATTGAAGAGTGTCTCCAAAAGCAATATCTTGAAAAGCGGATTTTGTTTATTATTGTACTGTACAGGACACAGCCCTAAATGTATTATGATTATTATATTAATGATAATATTATACTTTTCTTCCGTTTGTATTACTATAATGAAGACACTTAAGCTTGGAGGAAAATGATTTTTTTTAATATCCAGAAACCTCACAGTAACTGTCCTGACGACTAAAAAGAGGAAGCTGACTTTTCGTTGCCTATAAATGAAATTCAACTATGTACTGCATGAGCGGGAAGAATGTCATCGGACACAGAAGGCATCGGGACAGTGAATCAGCAAAGACACCTTTGTCACTGAATATTGTTAATAATATTACTTTTTAAGGAGAGCGTACTCCTTGTATTTTGCTGCAAAGTGTTGAACACTAAAAAAACAAACCAACATAAAAATGTTATGATATTTTTAAAACGGTGACGGAAACAAAAGTAAAGCTGTCAGCCCGATATCATGTTATTATTTTTTGTTTTACTTTCAAATAGGAAATGGTTCCGTTTTGTGATAGCGGTCATATATGATGCTTGTTCTTGTATTTGTGCGTTTTGTGTGATTTGTTTAGTTATTTTTAGATAATCACAAAATAAGATGCAAGCATTGTAAATGGCAGACTGGCGGACATTTTGTGATGTGTACAGTTTGTCAAAAAACTTCTTCCACTCGTTTAAAAGTTTGTAATTATGATTCTTAAGTCATGAAAAATGCTGTTGGTTTTTACTTTTGTTTTATATTTGTTTTTTTGTTTGTTTTTTTAATAAAAAGCACTACATTATTGTGAACATACTTTATGTTGTCTTTGCTCATATATTCCTTATTTATTATGACTATAGGAATCACTCAAACTAAATTATTGTTTTCAACATTGTTCAAACAAGTCATTTACAAAAGTTGAGATGTTAAAAGTAGTAAAAATGTTATATTAAAATAAATCAAATAAGTCATTCAAAACAGTAGTATGTTGAGAAAGAAAAAACGTGTTAATGTGGAAATATAAAACTAGATTTAATAATCTTCAGTGTTTTGTTTATTACTGATGTGATATTGAGAAGAAATGTACTATAATTGTATCCTTAAATGAGGTTTTAATGGAATTAATGACATGCAATGTATCTTATTTAAAGGATAAAGACAATAAGCCTTGCCAAAAGACTGGGCTCTGCTAAATTAAACAAACAATAGAAAAGTATTAATCATAATATATTATTTCGACTGCAGTCAAAAGTATTTTATACAGATTAGATTAGTCTCTTGGCTGATGGACCAGTTGACTCTCTCACTGTTATGGTACCTAAATGTATATTAAACTCTCGTCATATTATCATTGTAAGACGACGTTAGAGATAAATAGAGGACATCCGTGATGAATTTGTTCTAAATACGAACGCTTAGAAAAAGCTCTAATACCTCGCTTTAAATCTCGCGAGAAATCCAACAGGTCGAGTTGGTTACCGTGGTAACACCAATGACGCCCAGGCGTTCATTAGCTAGCTGATAGCAGTACAGCGACGTTATCTGACGATGTAACTATATTCTGACAATAAAACACAGCAATGTCGAGAAAGAGACAAAAAGAGAAACCAGACAAGGCCAATGCTGAGGACGAGAAAACTACAGGTTAGAACAGCTTTCATCAACGTTTCCAGCTCCTTCTGTCAATGAGGCAACTCTTGAATATTATGAATCTGCCTACGTTTTTAATGATGATATAATCATAGTAGCCTATAGTACTATAATGTGTATACATTTGTAATTTCATTAGGCTACCTATTAAGCGCTTTGAGCACCAGGAAAAGCGCTTTATAAATGTAATGTATTATTATTATTATATTTAACCTAAAGTTTGGGATTTCATTTTGAAATCTTGGGATTAAACAGCTTTTACAGAAACTTTCAGAAGAAACATTTCAGTTTTAACTGGACAGGCAATATATGAAAAACTGATCTGAAAAGGAACTAAAACTGAAAATACGGTCAATAAAATAAAAAAATGCATGTTAAGGTCCAGAATTGAAAGTTTCTTATGTACTAACAAAAGTGTGAGCAGCAGAATTGACTCCTGCAGTATCAAAAGGCAAAGGCTACTATAATGAAACGTTTGCTGAATCTTATTATAAGGCACACTCTTAATCACAAGCATTTTATATCTGCTGAGGTAACAACGTGCTTCATTAAAAATGAGAAAGCGATGTAAACTATGAACTTTCTGTTGTTTTTAGGTGCAACTCCAATTGAAAAACTGCCTACTCAGACCTTTGGTAAGTATCAGACTGTTTTATTAACTGGTTGAGAGTTGCGTGGTCAGTGCTTTAAACCTTCTCACCCATAGATGAATATCAGTGCTCGGGCCATGTGGAGGTGGACTTCCATTGTCTTTGTACTCTTCTGGACATGAAGGATATCCCAGCTGTCAGCACGAAGCCCCCATCCTCCCCTACTGACACTGAAGGAGGGGACAAAGGTAAACCTGATTTAAACGCCTGGCAAATGCATACTAATACTACTATTAGGTTGTACCTTGCATAAATCAAGTGTTAATATTTCCTTTCAATTGCAGGAATGTTTGATCACTACAGTACATCTAATGTCTTTAACAAATGTGAATCGATGTTATTTAAATCAACAAATATTACTCTGTATTAATTCAAATCAGTATTACTGAACAGGCCTAACAGGCACAGGCACATGGGCCCCAACATGTTTTGGATCCCTTGCCTTCACCCGACATACTGTATGTCACTAAAACTGATACTTAAAAGGACCACAAAGGAACATAACACTGCTGGATAGGGAAACAAACAGACTATTCAAGGGACAACACAACCACAAGAGACACAAAACAATGAGACTCAAAATGACTGCAATGACTACAATTCAGACTAAGAGTAAAAAACAAAGAGAAAAATAGAAACAACAATGTCCATAACCTCTTGCATGTCTGTGCCCAAGGGACCATTGTTTCAAAGTCCGTCAATGTTTCTCGTTGACTGTCCTTTGAACATGATCTAAGTTTTGAACAGACCCTTAAATTAGCAATCAAGAAATACCACCCATATATAATCTAAAAATGTAGTTACACTGGAAAAAGCACTTCACTGATCATTATGGGATGTCAAAATGAACACGTATTGTCTTTTTTTATAATCTCAGTTTCAGCTCACTAGTTAAATGTCAACATTAAATTAAATATTCTCTTCAGAGGACAGTCAGTTGGAGTCCAATGCTGAACCGTGCTGGTCCAAGCCGTGCCTCCAGGTGGAGCTGGAGGAGGAAGACCCCCTCCGTGCCAAGTACCTGAAGGTTTCTGGTAAGAATGAGATTGAATCTTAGATTTGCATCTAAATTAATTAATATATTGTGTCCTTTCCTTTTTCTTAACTTTCCCCTAAGCTTCCAACCACATTTAACTTCATTTATTTATTTTTACAATATTATTATTTTTTATTATGTATCATAGCTTTTAAAAAACAATCTCTAAATCAGTGATATACAGTACAAATATAATAATAATAACTTATTTATGTTCCATTATATACTGCTTAATTTTGGAGAACACACAATATAATCTGTGTGTAATACACACAGGGTGGAAGGTGGATGAGCGTATTGCCAGAGTGCTACAGAAGATGCTCCTCTCCCTGAGCAAGCTGCAGAGCCTTCAGTGAGTAATGAGCGCACTCTTAATACAGGGAGCAGGGTTACAGCTGTCACTGTTTTTGTTTGTGTAATCTTGTCCTCTGTGTGGCAGCTTTTGGCAGGCGGGGCTGACAGATCCAATGGTAATCTCTCTCGTGAACACAATATCACTGTGCTCCAACCTCAGGTGAGCGGATTCTGCTGTCAATCACTCTGTGGGACTTCTGTAGAGAGGAATGTTGTAGAGCTGCAGAGAAAATGACAACAAAGTATGTTTAACATTACCAGTCAGACACTGAGGGTTACTGACACTTCCTGTTTCAAATTAGGGATGTGACACTGGAGGGAAACCATCTTCCAGAACAGAGCTACCACCTTCTCCTCTGTGAAGACAGTGTGTGAGTTACCAAGCAGATACATAAGACAAGCACTGATCTGATACTTTCAATCCTGAATCCCATACCAAATACCGGCTATTGATGCAATCCTAGTGTTTCATCATTCATTATTATTTCATCGCCTCACTGTGTGGAAGATTCTTTTATGTTCAAGGCAACACCAGGCTTGGCTCAAACATTGCCTTTATAGAAATATAAAGATGGATATGGATGAAGTGAATTGTTATTTATTATTAAAATGATAAATTATGCACCAACAACCTGGTAAAAATATATTTAAAATCAACAGAAATTCCATTAAAAGTCTAAACCTTTTGAATGAAGCTCCTTCAGCTATGCGGTCGATCAATGTGCTGATTACTTGCTATGCCACCTTTGCTCACTGTACATTGTATACTGTACATTTCCCTGCTGCGGGACTAATTATATAATATTGATTCTGATACACATGTTATCAGACCCTTTTATAACCCGCTATTGATCCCGCTATTAAGGTAGATATCGGCATTATACCATATATACTATGTAGGCCTATTAGTATCGGATCGATGCATTCCTCACATTGTAGTTCGGAACATTGCCAATATATACAAAAACGTATATCTGCATTTACAAACACACATAGTAGCACCAACATGCCTGGTCTCACGTTGTGTGTTTCTTTGGTCCAGCCTCACCCACTTGTCCCTGAGAAATAACCGGATAGGAGATGAGGGCGCTCGTCTGATTGGGTCGGCTCTCTCAACAACCAGATCTGCTAACAAGAACCTTGTGTCACTCAACCTGGCCTTCAATGCTATAGGAGATGCAGGCGCTACACATATCGCACAGGTATAAACCAGACATTACTTCATATTTAACCAGTTCCTTCATGATGGCTGAGGTGTTGTCTTCCTGTTTGTCTCTCAGGGCCTGCGGTTCAATCGAGCTTTGTTGGTTCTCTCACTGTCCAACAATCAGATTGGAGACTCAGGAGCGGCTCATCTGGCAGAGGTATCCATTTACATGTTGGATTTTAACCTGGGACACAACACGTTAATTCAGTGGTTTTCAAATGAATAATGTAATTTCATTAACTGGCACTCCTTAACCACCTGTTTTCAGATACTGGTCGAGTTCCCTCTCACTCATGAAGAAGTTGTGGATAGGAGAAAGATGCTTCTGGAGAGAACTCAGACTGTAAGTGAAGAAATGTCTAACATTAATGCCAAACACATAAAATAAATGTTAAGTATCAAAGTGTCCTGTAAAGATAAGTAAGGACTGACAAACATTACTCATCATGTTCTTGTTTCAAATGTTTTTAAAAGGTTCTCACAAGCATAGAAGTGCAAGTTCATTCAAAACAAACATACATTGAAGTTTATTTTTGCAGTCATGTGAGCAGCCTGCAGAGCAACTTCCCTTGGTAGCCAGTTCACTGAGCAAAGGCAAAAAAAAGGTAACACGCCAATAAACTGTGTATAACAGACTGCAAAAAGTAATATATGGTGCAACTAATATCCATAAAATGTGACTAGTAATCTTGAGATCTTTTAACTTGCAGGAAGCATCCAAAAAAGAGGACAAGGCGTCTCACAAGAAATGTAACGGCCTCCGTCTCAGATAATCAAAAACGTATTTTATTTTCCTGACGGCTTATCTTTTCACTGCTGTCTCTTTAAATCTCTCCCAGCTTCTGATGCGAAGGTGTCTCAAAGTAAAGGTGCCAAGCAGAGTGGCAAAGAGAAGCAACTCGCTGCACAGGAGGTACCAGAGACATGCTTTCTGAATCTGCATACAAGCAACCATGAGGATATACACACAAACAGTAGTTTTGAAAATTCAGTGCTATTGTTTTTATTTTTTCCCTGCAGGATAAATCAAATACTGCCCTGAATAAGGTTTGGCGTAATTTTCTGTTAAGCTAACACTGTGTTGTCATGCACTTGTTAACTCCTGTCTCTCTCCTCCAGCAGCAGCAGCAGGTAGAGTGTGAGGAGGTGGAGAACCCCCTGCTGGATCAGTCGGTGCAGCACAGGGACGGGGAGATCATTCTGCCTGGAAACACCACTCTCTCCTCCCTGAACCTGGCAGGTCAGTCACTGTGGAGCAACATGTACATCAAAGATACCAGGAGAGGGGGAGTTTCAAATGTGTCTTTCACAAAAACTCTTTTATAGTTTTGTTTGAAGGCATTCACAATATCAAAACACAATATCAAAACATGTACAGTGTCAAAATAATTATACAATATATATATATATACATCTCAAAACAATTGTAAAAAATGCATTTTAACTTTGTATTGTATGGAAGCATACAAAGACAATAGCAACAATAACCTTACAATTAAAACCAAGCCATTAACAGACGTTTTTTTTTAAGAGGCGCTGGATTATTTTGACTATTTTATAATTTTTGTAATAATAACATGATATTAACATTTGATCTAATAAAAATCACCGTTTAATATCCCCCTATTATATATAATATTTTGCCTTCTTTATTGTACATTTTTAAAGAAATAATGTTAGCAAAGGTATCGTACTTGCTAGTCGTTAAATGGCAGCTACTTCTGTGGGGCTCTGAGGAAAATTAATTATGAAAAGTAACATTGAGATTTTAATAAAATGTCACGGTGTGTGTGTGTGTGTGTGTGTGTGTGTGTGTGTGTGTGTGTGTGTGTGTGTGTGTGTGTGTGTGTGTGTGTGTGTGTGTGTGTGTGTGTGTGTGTGTTTTTTTTTGTAGGAAACAGAATTACAGAGAAATCGCTGCCTTTATTCCTGAAATCTTTAGAGAAGCAGGGTGAGGGAGGAGGCCTGCTGCGTCTCTGTCTGCAGGTGAGAGTCTCAAGCCAATAGTGTGTGTGTGTGTGTGTGTGTGTGTGTGTGTGTGTGTGTGTGTGTGTGTGTGTGTGTGTGTGTGTGTGTGTGTGTGTGTGAATCTAAGCGGTTAAGGCATTTGAGGTAGGATATGTATGTATAACTCCTGTACTTACATTTGTGTACTTTGAGTTGGTTTAACATGCTTAGAAATCAGTGTTGTAATGTAAATGATAATTCTGTGATCTGTTTTTTTCAAAACACAATTGTTGTAATTTAACAAAAATACATAATTGTTTTTGTCCCCGAACGAGTGCCTTGTTTTATAGTCCTTCTATTGAAGAATCATAATATAGTTTGCTTGATTCTTTCAATAGACAACATATTAGCTTTTTCTCTCGGTGTGTCAATGACTTGCATTTAATACACAACCACCACCATGCTCTATGGAATAGACAGTGTTTTTTGAAGCGATTTTGTATAATGATTTCTGATCCGTCTTTCAGAGAAACCGCTTCCCAGCAGATTGTGAGTGTTATGTGAAGATAAAAGAACTGATGACACTCACAGCATAACACAGCTCTGAGCAGACAGAAGAGGAGGAACAGCGGGCATTCTCATCCAACATACCTTTATATACACTCTTTATTTGCTAAATAACAATAAAAACACTGTGTCCTCTGCTGTGAGGTGAACAAATGGATGTAATAACAGTAGCAATCTTGTGGAACATTAAAATCCAGATGCTTTGCACAGGACTCTAATCAACACCCTGTTTACAGACCAGTTTTACTGCTTTGTTTTGCTCACACTCAAATGTACACCAAGGACAAAAACTGAGAACAGCAGAGTATCAAGTACTTCAATTAAATAAGTATTGCTTTTATATCTCACAGTTATCAGCCTGCGTTACAACACTTGCTGATTTATCTACCCCAGACTGCCCCAATTTATTTTAAATGTGGCTGGTGTTTTAAGGGTGTTGGTGTCAAAGTTACTGTCTTTTCCATATGAAACTTGCTTTTTGTGTTTTTACGGGGTTTCACGGTTGAACTACAGTAAATAAACGGCAAAACACAGGCAATTTCATACTAATAAGAAGAGAGAACATTTACTATAGGCTGCTGAGAGCCCTACATTTGAACAGAAGAGATATATATTTTTCATAGAACTACAGTATTAATACCATCCCCCATATTTTACATTGGAGTTAATCTCTGAAGGGATAGTTAAATTACCTGCACAAATAAATACATTGAACCAGAACTTTAGATACACATATAGGCTTGTTGGTATATTGTATATTGTAAAGAGGTGTTGAAACCCCCAGAACCTAGTGTGGTTATTCAGTTAAATATCTGATACCTACAAAAATGTTTGTCCGCTGCCACCAGGGGGGCCCTCAAAGAAAAAATACATTGTTGCAAGTTGTATGTTTATTGTGTGTTTTAATACAAGTGCTTTAACACCAGTGGTGGATGAAGTACTCAGATGTTTTACTTAAGTAAAAGTAGCAGTATAAATACACAGTTACAACTTATGAATGTAGTGAAGTAACAATTATACAGTAGCTTAAATGTAAATACTCTAATAAAGTCAATAACTTTAAAATTGTACTTATTTACCTGTGACTTCTTATACCCACTTTTTTTTTTTTTTACAAATAAAATTTGCTCCTTCAGATATGTTCGTTATATTCGTAATTATTGTTTCATGTAAAGTGTTAAATAATTATTTTCAATGCGATCAACTAAAGTATATATTTTTATCTATACAATGTACTACATTGTATAGATAAATATATACATATCTACATTAAATGTAGTATACGAATAGGAGTGAACCATGGATGTATTATAAGAACGGAGTGAACACATGGATGTATAATGAACAGGTTGGAGTTTGGACCTCACCAATATGGCCGCTTCGTGCTCAGAACTTCGTCACATCCGGCTTCTGCTCAAAGTGAACCATCGATATCAACCCGTCGCTTCCGGTAATGCCTCCTTTTCGGCAGCGGCTATTTCCTCGCCAACATGCCAGTGAGTATCCACAGGGCGGTGTACAATGACATTTATACCATTTAATGGAGTGTTGGAGAGCAACCACACGGCTCAATGTTAACGTAAATAGTTAGCGATTCGACTAGTGTCGATTCCAGAGGGTTTCGTTGTATTTTGGTCCCAGAATTACTCAAATACTTATCCACATTTGAGCGCATTGCGAGCGCATTGTGAAACAAGATGGCTGCGCACACATCGCAAACATGGAGCCAGTTCTACGGAGGGTCTGAGCGGGCGTATAACCCTGACAGATTAACACTAACAGCCGCAATATCCTCCCACTTTGTTGTTAGAGTGTTGACTTAATAAATGTAACATTGATCCTACGTTTATGGAGAAAACCCCGCGATTTATGTGATTACGTAGCCTATAGTAATCCAAGTAATGTAGGCCAGCCGAGCAGCCTACATAGCTTAGCCTGTATAGCAGCACAAAACACCGCTAATGTTAAAGTTATCAGGTGTTATTTCAGGAAAGGAGTATATTTAAATGCAGATTGTTTATCTTTTCAGCTGAGAAATTATTTTATCTACAATAATAATTTACATTGACAAACCATTAACCTTCATTCATGTTCCCCTCTTTCTTATCAATTTAGCTCGCAAAAGACTTGTTGCATCCATCCCCTGAGGAGGAGAAGAGGACGCACAAGAAGAAACGTCTTGTACAGAGTCCCAACTCTTACTTCATGGATGTGAAATGTCCAGGTACAGTTTTCTCCATGCAGATTCACCTCAGCAGACTAGCACCGCTTCTGCATTGTCAATATGTGTCAACATGCCTTTGTTTTGAAGTAAAATACCTGTCTGTTTTCTTCCAGGTTGCTACAAGATCACGACTGTGTTCAGCCATGCTCAGACAGTCGTGCTGTGTGTTGGTTGCTCCACAGTCCTGTGTCAGCCCACTGGAGGCAAAGCACGTCTCACAGAGGGTCAGTACTTGCAATATTAACATCCTACACAATAATATTATATATAATATTTACCTGCATTTTCGGACGTTAATTAAAAAAACATTTGTTTTTAAGGAGATGTAAATATGTTTATTTTTGTGCAGAGCAATATCTCATACATTTGTTAGTTTGCTGAAGTACTATATATGTCCTCTAGGAACTCAAAATGTATAATCACCAGCTTGTGCAGTATTCATTTATTGATGTTATCATGTGACAGGAGTTATTTACTATTTGATTCAGATGCTGATACTGTGAAGGATGGGCAATCAAGTGTTTATAGCTTGTTGCTCATGATGGAAATTGCTATAACTTGTAACTCAGCTGTATGAGTGGCAACATTTCTAACAGTTTTGAGGTTGACATTTGGCTGGCTCTTCAGGCCCTGAATAGGGGATATTGATATGAATTGTGCTTTTATTGGACACATTTTGAAGCTTCTTTGACGCACTGCCAAGTGACTGGACTTCCCTTACCGTGGTCTTCCAATCTCATTCCAGTGCCAGATCAACCTCGGTTTGCAGAAGGGCTGAGCTAGACCACTGGCTCCCTCCTTTCGAAGGCTGAGAACACATAGCGACCTTTTAGCTACTGCAGTGTTGGGCTAACAGATATTTTTCAATTAAGCTTTAAGTCTATAATATATAACAAAGATGACTCAAATGTTTTAATAATTAAAAAGCCAAAAATATTATCAGATTATTAAAAGCTGGAAATCTCTTTGAAACTGGAAACAGCTTTTTTTTTTTCTGCATTCTTGACAATTATTCGGTTATCAAAATGGCTGTGAATATTTGTTTCCATCAATGCACTAATTGCAGTCTACATCAAGGTATAAAGATAAATCTAACGGATACGTTTCAAAATGTTTGGCGGTTAACTTGATGAATTCATCCTCAGCTCTAGACTGTTGTCAGTCCTGCTGTCAAAGCTTCCTCTTTGAGCTGGTGTAGCATCAGCCAGTATCGCTCCTCACTGGGGAGTGGGGACAACCTTATCAGTCACATGATGTGAAAACGATGACTGTGTTATTCCTGTACTGTACAGCTTCTCTTTTGTCTCACCCTCTTTGTCTCCTCTCGCAGGGTGCTCATTCAGGAGGAAGCAGCACTAGCTGCTCTCTGAGCTGAAGGGGAGAGGAGGGGATGGACCGGTTGATATCAGCACCACTCAACGATCTGATCTGAACCAGACCTGGAGACAGACTGGACAGCAGAGGTTTTCCACTGTTCATGTCGAACGATAGGTTTTTGCTGTTACTCCACCCTCCAACCCTGTCTCTCTTAATAAAATATTGTTTTGGCTAAATGAATGGTTTCTATGGTTTATGAATTGTTTGTGCAAAGTCAGCAGTTTCTTTATGGAAAATAGTTGTTTCTCTTCAATGGCCTCCATGTCATGAGCCAGTGGCACCAGGTCAATGCCCAGTTGCATCACTACACTGACAAGTAGGACACATCCTTTTTTAGAATTTCACTTTTTTTTGTATTCACATTATTCCAGGTTTTTTTTTTACATTTTCTTTTTCTTTCTTTTTTTCAAATGACTTCCAAGCACTCGGGTGTTGTGTGGTGAGGAGTGTACTCTGTCAAGTAATGTTGCATTGATTTGGAGTTGTGGGTCACATTGCATGGAAGCTATCGGAATGAAGAACTATTAAAATCGATAGACACGTTTATTATATATTTAATATTTTTGCATATTAAAAAATGAACAAGGAGGTAAAGGGGTGGTGCAGAAATGCTCCTAAATCAGGAAGTTAATCAGTATTTACCCCTTCTGGTTACCTTTAGTTGAAGGTTGTTGTTTTTTTGTCATTCAAACACATTTGTTATGGTCCCTAAGTGAAGCCCTTTGATACATTGCGAGGGTCTGAGCAAACCGTCCTCTGACAACCGACAACTTGGTAAAATGCAGCTTGATCTGGAGTGATTGTCAATGTCCAACCGAATGGTTTTACTGCTATAGAAACGGTGCTACTTATTTAACTACAATTGTACATACTTCTGTACAAACTCAACTTTGTTATTCACACATTTGACACCATGTAAGAAAAATGTCCCAACATGATCATGTTAGCTGTGGGCCAATAACTCCTCCAGGAGCCTCTTTCTTCCTCCTCATCCCCTCCCCCAGCCTCTAGCTCTCTTCGCTCGCCTCAGCCGTATCAGTCTCCACCTTCACCTCCCTCTCCCTGAGCAGGTGGCGGATGGAGGAGTTCTGCGTTGACAGGGTCCTGGACAGGAGCGGCATCAGGCTCCTGAAGCCCTCCCTCAGCTCCTCCACGTTCTTCTCCAGGCTGTGGATGTGTGTGTCCAGCTCCGCCCTGCAGCCCTGCACCTCCTCCAGCATGTCATACATCACTGTTTGCATCTGCATCAGGGTAGATGTCCGAGAAGAGAAAGAAAAGGCGTCAGGCGAATAATAGATGCTACTTTGAAAGACGATACGTTCACTTGCCTCTCTCACCTTGCTCAGATCCACAAGTGTGTTTCCCTGATCTGCAAGAATCCTCTTCTCTACCTTCACTCGCCGCAGCCTGGACACACGCATATTCAGATTTAGGTGCAATAAGGACAGTTAAACAATACTTATTTTATAATAGAATTATCTTATTATCTTATCTTAAGAGTTTTTTACTATCATCATATCCAGCTAATCATATCATTAGAAATAGCTTTATGAGTAGATTGATTTCTGAATAATCGTCAACTCGGATATTAGAAAAACATGCAATTAATCACTTTTTGAATATTACTTTTTTAATGGACTGTTACTTTATGGTATAGTATACTATGTTTTTTAATGGCTTTTTAAAAATACTTTCCTTAGCTTTTCTCTAAGGACCATGACTATTCTATGAAATATCTATGGCATACTTAAGTATAACTTTTGAAGAAATGTAATTTTATGTTTATATTACACACAAACTATATGCTTTTACTTTTTGAAAATATTATACAATGGCTTTCTATGAAATTATTATTAAATACCTTTTCATTATTTTTACATTAACGACTAATATTTATGACATACTATGACTTTGTTTAATAATCCTCAGTGGGATAATAAAGTGTGACTTTTTTTGCATTACCTTTGTTAAACAAAATACTATACCATAATCTATCTATGACATTTTTATGGCACTTTTATACGTTCTGTTCATCAGAATAAAACTAATGGCATTTCATAGTAAAATAAAGGCACCAATGTAATGTATTGATACAAATATATACAAGTTTCTATAATTATTACCAAACATATAGCAAGTGGGAGATAAAGTGCAAAGGCAGGTCTCAGAGACGGAGAGAGTCTTACTGGTGGATGGCCAGCAGCAGCTTCCTCTGGTGCACGCGGACTCTGGACTGGTCTCTTTCTCTTGACAGCTTAGTGTGTTTGTAGATGAGCCAAGTCTCTCTCAGCACATTTGCTGCGGCAATTTTTATCTTGTGAAAGGATGTAGAAAATCACTCAGGAGTTATTTTATGTTAATGCACAGGACCTGAAAGTGCTGTTATTTACTGTATGCTAAACAACACCAACATAACGTCTTTAAATCAGATGCACATTCAAACCTGGGGGGTATACTACGAAGCAGGATTTTCGCTTAGCCGGCTAAATTCAGGGAAAACTCCGGCTTTCCGGTCCTACGAAGCTGGTTCTCTTTTTAGCAGGCTAGATCTCCATGGTAACTTATGCTAAGCGGCTAACCTGGTCGGGACCAGGTTAGGTTGCAGGCTAAGAGCTCAACTCAGTGAAAGCACCGCCTGCTGACCAATCAGAGCTCAGTGTGCGGAGTTTAAAGCGATCAAGTCATATTACAGGAGAAAGGAAATACAGAAAAGCTGCCGTCGCAGGAAAGACGGCTGGCAAAAATCACCGACTGTGTGAACGTGAACATTAATAGAATATCACCTCCCATCTTCAGAGCAATCTGACTATTATAACATTAGCGTTAAGAAAGCTTACTTAAATATCTGCCACAACATAGGCCTAAGTAACCGGATCAGAGTAACATTAAGTACAGTCCGCGGCATATCACTTCATAATGTATCATATCTCCTTATCTGAGTCAGCTGAGCCGTATCTGGCCGTGCAACACTCACAGTGTCACATACTGTATGCAGAAGTATTATTTTAAGCAACACATTAAGCTGACGAAACACTCGAGACAAATGTAATTAAAGTCAGATCGTGTCTTGGACGGGCAGTGATATCATAAACCTGTTAATGTACGCATTCAAACACTTTTTCTTTTGCCAGCTGTAATCACCTTGCAGGTGCAGACTATGTGGCTTTTATCCTGGATAAAGTGTTTAAGTCATGGATGTTTAAAGTTTAACTTCTTCATTTTTGACTAGTATTAAAGTTCACTTTTCATTCAGGAAGTATGACGCTGCGCTGTCAGTACGCTTCTCCATGTTTCTGATTGGTCGAATGCTCCAAATACCACCCCTTTCATGTGAACGCGCACCTAACTAGATAGGAAACGGCTGGCTTGAGCGATCCACTTGATAACCCGCGTCGTAGTACAGTTTAGCGAGAGCGCGTATGTTTTGGATTAGGCCAACCGGCTAACTCAAACATATCCAGGTTAGGTTGAACTAGATTCGTAGTATAGGCCCCTGTTCACCTCACAAGTAAAACATAAACCTGCCTGTTGGGAGAGATTATTATTCTATTTTTCCACGATGGTTTTAGGCGTTTTGTAATCATTTCCATGCTGTAAACAATTTGTATTGATTCATACTGAAGCAAATTAAACTAATTTCACACCACTCACAGCTTTTTACTTGCTCAAGGGATATTTGGATGTCAATAAAAGGGAAATAAATAGAATATTGTTAACAGTGCACACAAAGTTCTGAATGTTGTAAAATAAGTTTAAATGTGCTATCTGGTGTGCGAAGAGAAAACTGCAAACTAAACTTTTACAAGACAACAAAAAATGTGTGTTGCAGAATCTCACTCACTAGTGGGATTATTTCATTACATGACAGTAAAACAAAGCTGCACTGTTTACCCTCTTGGAGATGTGGGAGTCCATCATGAAGTTGTGGACATGTTTCTCCGCTCTGGTCAGCTCCAGCTTCCTGGCGACCACAGCCACCACCAGCACCGTGCAGCCGGCTCCCTGTGAGCATCACACAGTTAATATAATGATGTGTCAGAATCTGCCTTTCACTTATTATAGGAGAAACTGTCCGCTCACCATGATCCCAGTGAGGAGGCAGATGCTGCGACCGCAGTATGTGTGAGGCACCACGTCTCCATAACCGATGGACAAGAAGGTGACGGAGACCATCCACAGAGCCTCCATGTAGTTGCTGCTCAGGTCCCTGTAGTTGTGATGTCTTTAGGAATAACAAGAATATTATATCATTAATGTTATAAAATCTTCCATGGCTTAATTGAGTCATTTTCTGATGCTGATTATCTGACTGCTGTAGCTGAATAATGAATGACTGCTCCACCTTTACATCACTGAGGATTGTTTGCCTGTACCCACAACAGATACACAAACCAATATTTATTATCCAGTCAACATCAGGGGGTACTACGAAGCAGGATTTTCGCTTAGCGGCTAAATTCAGGGAAAACTCCGGCTTTCCGGTCCTACGAAGCTGGTTCTCTTTTTAGCAGGCTAGATCTCCATGGTAACTTATGCTGTGCGGCTAACCTGGTCGGGACCAGGTTAGGTTGCAGGCTAAGAGCTCAACTCAGTGAAAGCACCGCCTGCTGACCAATCAGAGCTCAGTGTGCGGAGTTTAAAGCGATCAAGTCGTATTACAGGAGAAAGGAAATGCAGAAAAGCTGCCGTCGCAGGAAAGACGGCCGGCAAAAATCACCGACTGTGTGAACGTGAACATTAATAGAATATCACCTCCCATCTTCAGAGCAATCTGACTATTATAACATTAGCGTTAAGAAAGCTTACTTAAATATCTGCCACAACATAAGTAACCGGATCAAAGTAACATTAAGTACAGTCCGCGGCATATCACTTCATAATGTAGGCCTATCATATATTTTCTTATCTGAGTCAGCTGAGCCGTATCTGGCCGTGCAACACTCACAGTGTCACATAGGCCTACTGTATGCAGAAGTATTATTTTAAGCAACACATTAAGTTGACGAAACACTCGAGACAAATGTAATTAAAGTCAGATCGTGTCTTAAACCTGTTAATGTACGCATTCAAACGCTTTTTCTTTTGCCAGCTGTATTCACCTTGCAGGTGCAGACTATGTGGCTTTTATCCTGGATAAAGTGTTTAAGTCATGAATGTTTAAAGTTTAACTTCTTCATTTTTGACTAGTATTATAGTTGACTTTTCATTCAGGATGTATGACGCTGCGCTGTCAGTACGCTTCTCCATGTTTGTGATTGGTCGAATGCTCCAGATACCACCCCTTTCATGTGAACGCGCACCTAACTAGATAGGAAATGGCTGGCTTGAGCGATCCACTTGATAACCAGCGTCGTAGTACAGTTTAGCGAGAGCGCGTATGTTTTGGATTAGGCCAACCGGCTAACTCAAACATATCCAGGTTAGGTTGAACCAGCTTCGTAGTAGAGGCCCCTGGAGATATTTCTGGTTGATTATGTTGGAAAGAAGCTCAAACGTTTTCCTACGCTGATAATGTAAGAAGGAACATATGATGAAAATTGTTGCATGTGAAAAGATGCTGTGATGATTAAACATCAACAACATTGTGTTGTATTAACAATGATCTATTATAGAACAATTCTGAGAAAGCTTAAAGGTCCCCTATTATGCTCTTTTCGAACAATATATTATAGGTCTCAGATATAAACAATACATGTCTCTGAAGGGTTTTGCTTGAAATACCAAACGGATCATGCATTGTAGCATCCCATAAACCCCTCGGTTTCAGCTCTGTTTCAAAAGTGCTGATTCTGTGACACATATTTATGTATAAAAGACATACAAAAGTGGATTTAGCATAATAGGTGACCTTTAAGTGGATATACATTTGATTAATTCCTTGATTGTTGCCATGTGCTAATGCCCACCACATTACAACGTTTTTTCCTATATTATTGTCAGTTTTCTTCCCTTTGTTTTACATCTTTGGAAAAAACCGTTATATTATGAAAAAAACAACAACATCAGGAGACATTTGATCTTGTCAGTGTCATCCAGCCAGTAAACATAAAATACGGCAGAGTGAAACGTTGATTTGTTGGCTGCAGTACAAACATTTAAGTAATACTGTGTGTGCTATATCTGCTTATATTTGATGGTAATGAAATATGAAGGCCTTCAGCACCTACAGACAGACTCAGCATATATCATCACTCACCTCTCACAGACATGTAAGCCCCACGCTGCCACGATCCACAGAGACACGCTGAATATCATCAGCACCGTCCCGGGGTAGGTTGTCATCAGTGTTTTCCCCACAAACCGGGTGTTGAAGTGTATCTAAAGATCACAGACGGGATGCATTTGCGTCACGATTTTGAAAATAGGGGCCTACTTAGCCAGACTATTTAGGATAGCACCTGTCAGATTATGATTATATAATACAGAGGAGATGAGGGATAAGAACACTTGTTCTCAATCTGGCTTGATACATGGATGGTAGGTTTGGCATTGCGGTGAGGAGACAGAGGTCATTTTCATCACTCTTAAATAGCATTTATAGGGGAAGGGATTAGCCGGGTGCATACAACCAACTGTGGAAAAGAGAGCAGACAAGCAAAGGAGAGCCAGTGAGGGACATAAACCAGCATGTGGAACCACTGGGATTCATGGGAGCGAAACTGTGATAGCCACACCTCAATTGGCACACCTCTACAGAACCCTCGGCCCACCTGGACATAAGACATAAACAGATTTGCAGCAGATGAGATGTTCAAAGAGGAAGCACAGCCGTAAGCACTGTCCAACATATAAACTTTAACATGCCATGTATCAAATGCCTTAGTTTACCAGTTTGTACAATCATGAGAAAGTTGATTTTAAAGGTCCCCTATTATACTGTTTTTCATCAATATATTATAAGTCTCAGATATATACAAAACATGTCTCTGAAGTGTTTGGCTCAAAATACCAAACAGATCATTGCAGCATCCCATAATCCCCTCTGTTTCAGCCCTGTTTCAAAAGTGCTGATTCTCTGTCTCTTACTTTAGATGAAAATAAGGAGCCCCTCCCCACGCCCCTCTGAGAGAGATTTGGTTAAAAAGAACATAATGGTGCTCTAGGAGGAGATTCAGGTGATAAGGTGGGCGGGTGTTACCTTGGTTGGTGATTGGCTAATGGTTACACAAGCCAAAAAAACGTTATGACATCATAAAGTGACCAAAACCTGATCAGCTCATTTTCAGACAGGTTTTTATAGAAATGGATCAGGACAAAAAGTGAGCAAATCTTTTTTCCTGAAACGTTCAGAATCTCTTTACACAGAGGGGGACACATGTTTATGTATAAAATACATGAAAAAGTGGATTTTGCATAATAGGTGACCTTTAAAGTACAATACTCAGCTGAATCCAGATCCTGCGGGGCGACCTCTCACCTTATTGAGCGCTCCAATGCTGCGGGATGCGGTGTCAGTGAAGAGGCGGCTGTGCAGCATCATGGCGCGGCCCAGCAGGTAGAGCCTGAGGAACATGGGCAGAGCCAGGATGATCTCCAGCTCCGTCTCCGACAGCGACAGGCGGGCGGGGGTGTGCTGGAAGGTCTGCTGGAAGTATGCCATCAGCCCCACTGGATAGGGATGAATGACCACCACCGACAGCTCCAGGGCTACCAGAGCCACACGGTCAGTCGTCAGGGCAATCCACCAATCCTCTGCACCAATGTCGTGAACATAGAGCTACCGGAGAGGTGGGAAGAGTCAATTAAAGTGAACCAAGATTAAACTGGACAAAAGAGACGGCTGTAGCCAATCTTGATGTGTGCCTTCACCGTGGTCATGTGACCTAGATAGTGGGGTCACAGGTGAACAGCTGGGGGATTAGAAACAGTGGAAGCAGATTTGTTTTTGTGATGATAATTCTGTTGTTTTGTTTTTTTATCACACATTTAGTGCAACAGGCTTAGGTTTTCCATCTGTATGTGACAAACCAATATTCTATGGAAGACCTTTTTTTCGCCCCTACAACGATTACATGGGAACTTCACTGATTTGACACATCTTAGTCTGGGGACTCGTCACAGGAAGTGCATATGTAGAAATTATATCAATACAGAGTTCAAGAGGGAACTGCATGTTGAAATAAAATCAATTTAGATTAATGTCACTTAAGGTTATTCTGCTCTTTTAAAACTTCACCATTTTGAGTTACAAAACGTTTCTAACTCATAATGGTAATTTTTGCTTTCTCTTTGTAAAATATAGCATTCAAGTCATTCAGATGGAACAGCGTGAGTATGAGAAATAACTTCCTGGTTTGCTGAGATTGAGGGCATAGGTGGATTATTAAAAGATGTTATAAGGCCACCAGACTTAAAGGTTGGGAAACTTTAGTTCCTTTCAATTGGACCGGTTTTAGTACAGCGAGAAATGACTATCTAAGAAGAACAATCTGTAGGAGCATTGTGCCACAGAGTTTTTAAAATAATCATTTAAAGGTGGGGTATGTCATTTATTTCAGAAACACTTTTTGTTATATTCCATGGAATGCTCCTAACATCCCGATAGCAATGAATATATTAAATGCTTTGACAATAAAGTACATAAATTAATTCATCTGTGGAAGCCGTAGTACTGTAAAAAGCACGACCAATCATCTGAGCCGGCCCGGCTAAAATAACTGGATGGCCTACCTGCCTGACAGCCTTCCATCTGTGCACAGACTTATCACGTGCCCTCATTGGTCATGTGCGCGTTCGTGTGTGTTGGAGGAGGGGCTCTGTAAGGAAGTCTGAAGGAAGGGGCAGATTTTTTCCGGTTGTGTACTTTCAAATTCTAGCGCACTCGAGCTGGTTTCTCCAAAATGACATACCCCACCTTTAAATGTGAGAAAGTTTGAAGAAAAAAAACCTGATGCAAAATTAAGAATCAACAAGTTACCTGTATCTCACAGCAGTGATACGCTATGATGAGGCCCAGCAGGATGATCGTAGACAAACTGATGATGGACTTAAGTGCGAGCGAGTAGATGGAGCTCTGTGAAAGACACACACACACACACACACACGCACACGCACACGCACACGCACACGCACACGCACACACACACACACACACACACACACACACACACCACACACACACACACACACACACACACACACACACACACACACACACACACACACACACACACACACACACACACACAACATCATTGTCAAGCTGTCTTTACAAAACTCAATCTATGAAATGGCCTCACTGATCCTCTGTAACCTTTTAATCTAACATACATTTAGATTATCCACAACATGATTTTATGGCACAGTGTGCATTTTCCTGCAGTTGTTAAGAGATCAATTCTCATACTCAGAATTGTGATACAGAACAAAACAAAATCTGGAGGTTTTTCTTTTTTTCTTTTTTTAAGAAAAAAATTGATTAAACTGATCTGTTTTCAGAAGAGATGTTGACTACACTTGTGCAGTGTGATTTTTGATTTGTTTTCGACTTTTACATTTGTATTTATTAAAGGATTTCTCAGGGTCTTAGTGAGGATTTCCTGTTTTCCTGACCTTGCTGTAGATGCTCCAGGAGAGCTCTGTCTCCATCACCATGAGCAACATCCCGAACAGCCCCACTGCCAGCGCGCAGTCGTTCAGCCTCTGCCTCCTCAGGAACAGAGCCCTCCGGTGCACCAGCCGCCAGCCGATGTTGTGGGTCTTCCAGTACGAGTCGTCTTTGCTCTCCTCCTTGTGCTTTGGGCTGGTCTGGGAAACTGGTTTCGGGGTCCGGAGCGGGACCCTCTGCTCCTGGCAGCAGGCCTCTGCCCTCAGTTGGCTCCTGGCCATGCTGGAACGTCTCATTTTGCAGCTCAAAGTCGTCATCTTTGCTGGTGATGATGATCTCTGGGAGAGTCTGGCGGTCGTGCATCTCCAAGGAAACGCTGCCCGAGGAGCGACGCCCTCTGCTCTCTACATAAGACCATAAGTGTGGTCTGCGGGGGCTCTGAAGGGGTAATGAACATGGGACGTTGGAGAAAGAGGTGACTTTCTCCAGGAGTCTCTGAGCTTCTGAGTTGTTGGCTTTGCACTGATTATTACACTCCTTGTGAGCTGGGGTCTGTTTAGTTCCTGGTGACTTTTTCTGACATTTCTTCTCTTTGCCTTTCTGTCCCTTCTTGTTGGCGCGAGGTGAAGAGGTCACATAAAGACGGCCGTTGTACAACGGAGTGGTGGCCATGGCCTGGGTTCTGTCCAGCCACACGGTGTGATCAGCTGACGGTTGGACTGTGTGGTGTATCCCACACTGAGGAGAGCAGGCCTGAGGGGGGGGAAGCACCCTGTTGGGGAGGAGGGGCCGCTGGTCCTCCATGTCCTGTCCATCCACCGCTGACAGGTGCATAGAGGGGGAGTGCTCCATGGTGAGAGGGCCTACAGGTGACGATTCACCAAAGAAGAGTTTGAACAAAGTAGGTAGAGAGGTTTAACATTTTAAACAGCAGGTGGAAGGAAAACTACAGCTACTCACATGTTTCACTCATTAGCAGCTTTGTCGTAGTATGCCAAACCTTAATGGCTCATGATAATATATATTCTTAATTGTATTATTTTGTATTTGTAAATGAATTATTTATAAATATTTGTTTCAAAACACAGATCAATAGAGTTCTAGACACAAAATGTATTGGAGAGTTTGCTAAAAAATGTTATAATACTTTTTTTTATTCCTACCTTTTCTAGTCAGGTTTTCCAGTCTGCGAAACTGTTTTTTCTGGAAAGTATTTGAGTGTTAAATCTTCTTACGGTTCTGTAGGTCACATCTGTCTGAGTCCTACGTGTAAAATCCAGTTGGACTCAAAAACACCACCTTTAAAGGCGGATGTTCAAAATGTAAAGTTGAAGGATGAAAACAAATCGAGCTTCAACACCAAGGCGCTCCGGCGGGATCAGATATCAGTATTCCAAATGTCCCAGCTCTGAATGCATGAACTTTCCAGCAATCCATTAGCAGCTTCAGCATCACGGAGCCCCTCCCAGAGATCCAAGCTGAGGTTACGAATTCGTCCTGCATATGACGACATAGTAGGTAAATACCCATGGATATCCATTACATTGTGAAGCATTTATTCCCTTGCTGGTACGTTTGTCCACCATCAGGGAATCTACCCTAAAGCTGGTGGGGCTTAATGACAGCAAAGACTCTGAGTTGCAGATGTTGCATGGAGCAAAGGCAAAGAAACGTCCTCTGTCCGTTTCTTTTTGCCGGGATTGGCAGATTTCCTCCTCCCTATGTGTGTGGGTGTGGAAATCAGCTTATAAATAAATGGGTGCCCCGGGTCGGTGTCAGAAATCTGCTCTCACAGTCTTAAAGAAAAGCCATTAAATCACTTTTCATTTGTTATTTCAATAATTGCCTCAATTGTTATTGTGGGAGGATTGCATGGGGTTGTTATAGACTTTTGTGTGTGTTTTATTTCAAATAAATATAATCTTTAAAAAAAAAAAAATCAGCAGATTATTATTGCGGTTTAATCAAGTCTGACATAGATCTGATACTTATGAGCTTATGAAATATCAAATATGTCACCCCTTAAGCGAACAATATGTACAGAGCAGGCTGGAGTATTAAAGTCATAACAATGACATTCAGCATCATTTATTTATATAAATCCTGGTGACAGATGGGTCTGCAGATAATAGAGCTCCCTCTAAACGGTAAGACCTAAGGAGCAAAGGGGTGGGCGGAGGAGTGCATCCGGATAGTAGCAGGATGAAGCAAGGCATTATTTAATCTGAAGACAACATGTATTTAAAGATGGATAGAGGCTGAAGGAGGGTGGTGGGGGGGATATGACAGCAGAGGTGGGAGAGCAAGAACATGTTTGTAAGCAGACAGTCTGCCTTCCCTGCAGATGTAAAACAGAATCTTTCTGCTTTAGCCAGATGCTGCTGTCTGGATTTTTAGATTCCTCGCACAAACAATGTCTGGAGGATCGTATTAAAATGTGAAGGAACGATTATTATTCTGTTTCCTATCTCTCCAATGAATCACATTTTTGTGGGCCTAAAGTTGCTTTCAAATGAAATTAAACTTGGTAATGAAAGCTGGTGGGTTTATGTATGTTATACGGAGGAGTGCCGTAAAGTTTGAGGCGTAAACCATCTGGAAGTCAGATATCGAGAATTTTCTCCTACAGATTTTGTCCAATCAACTTCAAATATTGTCAAATCTTAATGATGAAAAGTAATCAAATATTTATATTTCCTGGAACACCCTGCCATGTTGTTGTGGCCATTTTCAGCAATATTGAAAACAGCTTTGGTCTTATTTATCAAGTAATACATCTATTTCATCTATCAGTCTTGTTTGTTTGTATTTAACTAAGTACTACAGAAATGTATGCAGTGATTGTATTATTGGTTCATAGGTTAGAGACATTTGATTGACCCATTTTATCAAGTCATTTGAATGGACGATCAAAACGGGTCATTTGATTGTCCCATTGATACAATACATTTAATTGGAGGGTAATTTGACACTGCAGCGCCATCCGTCGTCCCACCAGCACCCCCAATGTGCATGGATGTTTGAGGACCTGCTCATCGCTTCTTGCATTTTCAATGTTGTTTTGATATTCTGCAGGCAGTGAGCTCCCAGCTGTCGGTGCCTCAGTGCATGACTGCCAACACGACAAACCCTTGCGGATAGCATTTGGTAAACAGAGACCATATCTCACATCCTTGCAGAGAACTAGATCCTAAAATATGACTGTTTAGTCTGCTGAATTCACACTCACTCTGCTGTGGTGATAAAGTCTACGAACATTCTTAAATTAAGTCCTTTTAATAACAAGACGCTGAGAGGATATATGCACATCTGCAAGCCTTCACATTAATTAAAGTCTCCAGCCAAGGGCTTGTAAATCCTGGCCGCTGTAGCTGGTAGCTAAGTATGTCAATTCCTCTTGCTTCTGTGGCCGGTAGCCAGCAGGTTTTCAATTAGTCCCTCCAATTGCAAATCATCCTTTGGCTGCGAAGAAAGTGAAATTAGATATTTTGAGTCCACTAATTGCTCTGGCTGGTAAATGGCACATCTGATTCATGCCCTGAATCTTTAGAGCGCGCCAGTTTCATCTCCTGGTCAGGATATTAATTGCTTCAGTCTGACCTGTTCGGACACATTGGTCAAAAGATAAGTCCCATTATGTAAACAGCAGTTATAATGTTTATGTTTTAAAGGTCAAAAGTGACGATTAGTGTGGAAGGAATAGTATGACGTTTTGGGAAATAGGCATATTTGCTAAGAGTTAGGTAAGAGAATCGGTGCTACGCTCTTATCTGTCTGCCAAGCCTGTTCCACATATCATATTATTCTCATCATTTAGATATGCGTTGAAATGCTCAAAGAGAGAAAGTAGAATCAGCATACAAACTATATAGAAATAAAAGGATAATAATTTGTTAGACATATGTTGTTATGAGAGCTAACGTCTTGAGGCTTAGTCTCTACTAGCATAAATCACCAACATTTCGGACCAAACGTCACAGTAGAGTTGTTTTTTTGGTATCTCCAAGAACATAGATCATGATTTGCAATTCAACATGGGGTTAAGGTAAACGTTTCAGCCTCCTTTTGGTTTCAGGACTTGCAGAAGCAGAACGTAATTGTCCATTAGGAGAACTTCATCAACTCAACTCCCTTTAAGACAAAAAGGCCACACAAATCAGATGTCACAGGCCAGTGGATGTATGTGCAGGTTCTGTCGATAGCACCCTATTAGGTGGAGGGGACGTGTCAGCGCAGGAGAGGGCCTAATCCAATCAGAAGAGTAATTAAAAACACACAGCACAGCAGCCCTGATGGCTGCATTGTCAGGGACGGCATTCAGCACTTAGCACAGAGAGGGATGAGCTCATGCCGGGTCAGAGAGATGGCTGTCTCCACTGCCGTGCAATTAGAATCACAATCAGCAAAAATAAATTAAAAGGACAGCAAATATGCAGAGAGGGGTCGCACATTGTGTTCCCAATCCTCATTCTCTCCCTCTTTATCTTCATTGAAATGGCTTTAATCCACACCTTGCTCAGTGTTTTAATTCATCTGTAATTATAATGAGTTTTGTGTCCTGATTAGTGTCTTTACAGCGTTGGCATCTTCTTGTCGTTTTATTCAGCGCTGTCTATTCCTCGTTAATTAACACCATCACCTAACTCCTCCTGCCAGCGTTGCTGAGCTCCATCCAGCATGCAGTTGGGAAACAAACCACCAGATGTCACCCACACCTTAGTGCATCCAATCTGTTTTTTTATGAAGCCTAATGAATTTTGGTTTTGGCACAGTGTCACAGTGGTGCTTGGCGCATACAGCATTGGGGATTTTTTTCCTTTGCTTTCATGAGATGAACTCAAAGTCCATTTTGCACACATTTAGGCAGCAGCATAAGGATCTCTTCTCGTGACACATTGTACGTCCTCACTCCACGCTTGATGCAGCCTTCGTGGCTTCAACCGGTGACTTAACCATCCTTCTCTTCGCCTCAGAGGGCCACTCTCCATCCTGTGTGTGCGGCCGAGCATGAATCTGAGGCTCGGGAGCGCTCTGGATGTGTGACAGGCTTCCTTGGAGAGGGGTAATTCTGAAGGGCAGAAGAAGTAATAGGGTAATCTATTATACAGTCAAACTCTTTCTTCCTCCTCTCTTGCCCCCGCCCCCGCCTTCCTCCCTCTCTCCCAGTCTTTGGTTTCTCGCTGCCTCTGCCCTTGCATCAGCATTTCGTGAGGACAAATGAGAAGTAGAGTTTATGCACATTCCCGATGCCCTCCTGCAGAGCCCAGCACTTTCGCAATTAAACTGGAGTCCATCTCCCTTATGATTCAAAACTCACCCCCCACTGAATGGGGGCAGCTCACACACACACACACACACACACACACACACACACACACTTTGAAATACAAACTTACAGACACACACTGTTCCAGTCTAGTAGTGCGTGACCGTAACCACTGGGGTGGGTTATAATGTGTAACTAAGCTGCCATATTTCATCCACCCCTAAGGCACATTAGGAGATATGAAAAGGGAATGAAAGTATACAAAATGAGTATAACACATTGGTTCACTTTGTACAATTGTCTGCTTTACATGGACAAAAGAGGAATAGAGACACAACACCCAGAGGTGATTCTTTCCCAAAAACAAAAATGTAAAGCGTGTCTGTTTTTTGTGCTCAACTTTCCACTGTTCCCTTATTTACCACACTTTATCAATTCATTCTCCATTAGTGTTTTAAATGGTTTTAAGCATCATCCTGTTCGAATGTCTTGAAAAAGGTCAACTCATGGTGAGAGACCAATAAGAAAAAAGCATCTCCCTCCTCCACCTCCTGCTATATATTCAACCCCCTTTAAACCCCCCACCCCTGACATATTGTTCTCTTGTGCGCTCCATTTTAGTCCCACCTCCCAGGGAGACAGGGAGAGAGCCCACAGCCACCATCTCCTCCTCCTCTTCCTCCTCCCCCCTCTCTCAACTCCCCGCTCTTCCAGCACACGCTCACACTCCTTCCCTCTGATGCTGACTGGATGCAGACCGGGGGATTTCCAGCAGCTTCCTAAAGCTCTCCTCCCTCCCTCCCCTCCTCCTCCTCCTCCTCCTCCTCCTCCTCCTCCTTCAGCATCCGGAGCGTCTCCTCTTCATCCTCCTCTTTCCTCCTGCTCCTCACCTCCGGGATGTGGCACTCGGTGGCTCTGCTCCTCTCTGGATTCTTTGCTTTGATCCACGGTGAGCCCGATCGCCTCTCGCTCTGTCTTTCGTTCAGTTTCCAGGAATCTCAACTGCAGCCGCGGCACTTTAGTCCGAAAGGGGGGATTCTAGAGGGAATGTATGTATGGTGTCAATTCTGTTGATGCCTGATCTATGAATACGAATTCAAAGTAAAAAAAAAAAAGACTCCGGGAGAAGAAAAGTGAGAATCTGGCTCACCTGTTTGCTTTCTTGTTTACATCTCTGGGATTACTGGTTGTTTCTTTCTGGATATATGTGCTG